TTTTTAAAAAACCCATGAATTGATTTAAAATTTTAGAGGTAGCTTTTTATAGTAATATGGATCTATAATAACAAATTCAAGATGCTATGATGCATGATTTTATGATGATTATGGATGCATGTATGACTATTTTAATGTACAACCAGAACAACCTTAAAGAAAACTGCACATGAAGGAATCTGTACATAAATGAATAAACAATGAATTCAGATCGCATATTATTAAATTCAACGAATGTGATATTTCATTTCTTTTTTTAAACATCATTACAAAAGTGCGATTTTATATAAAAACCATTTTGTTACCTTTTTTCTCTGTTCCTCCTCGCCATCCCTCTGGCTGCACATCTACCAATCCGTTCGAACATTATACTTTACGCCTCTTCCCATATTCCCTTATTTATTAACACCACCTCTTTCATGCTATTACTCATATAATTATTTTACACTTAACAGTAACTGTCTATTGTTTCGATTTTAAATCGTACGGCGAGGTTACAGAAGGAAATGTAGGTCCATCGATGCATTTTTTAGGAACTTGCTATCATCCACTCGTCGAGGGAGGTTCTTCGATTGAACATCCAACGTCTACGACGTCGTCATTGATGCGAATTATACCGAAGGGTGTCACTGGCCACGTGAGTCGTCGTCGAGTCGTTGATACTCTGTACGATCATGCTGAGCCGATCCAGACTGCTCCCAGTCAACTGAGACGACTGAGTATCCACCGTTCCCTCGAAACCTGATAGAAACAATTCAAATCCGACAATTTAAGTCCCATCGTCTGTTGACTATACCAGAGACGACTTAATCGCGTTCATCTGTCTATCCGAAGAGACACACCAATTTGCTCTGACTTTCGACCGTGCCACCACCGTGGCTAGTAACTACGCGTTTCCGGCGAGACTGCCACAAGAGACCTTTTAGCCGGCCTCATTAACGCGAAACGCAACGACGACACCGAAAGCTCGCCGCTCTCAACCAGTTCTTTGTTTCCGATCGCGACGCATAACGTGCGTCGCCGTCGTCACCGAACTCTTTTAGAATTCACGTGGAGAAGAAACATTCGAGTCTAACTCGAAAACGAGAAAAACGAACAATACTGAAACGAGGAATCCCTAAAGGGGATGAAGACTAACGTCGAACTTAACACTAGATTGCCCAAGGAAGTCATTTTGACTGGTTTTGGGCAAATGTACAAATAATAATGCATTNGAACCCAAAACAACGCAACCTCGAAAATCTAACGACGCACAGTGAAAATTAGTACTAATTAAGCAGCGACGCAACTTTGAAAAAACGCAAAACGAAACGACGCAAAGCGAGGTATTGGTGTATACTAAGTTTCAGTCTTTCTAGTGTTAAAAAAGTATGGTGGAAATGAAATTTTCTGGACGTTGCAAAGTATGTATTTTGGACGCGGGTTCTTCCGCCGCGTTGCGTTTAAACGACCATAAGCAAAACGACTGTCCGGCGACGATGCGTCATCCTAATGTACCGTGGCAATATATGGCACTTTCGGTAGACTCGAATTTTCTCCCCGATAGCGAGCCTCGTCGGTGTACATTTTCAAATTGCTTTCCCGAGCATCTGCGAACGTTGTACGATTGCGAAATGACGTCGGTGGGAATGAGACGCGTAGCCATTAATTAAAATAATCCAGATGCATGTTAGTGAATCGGTTATGGTTCGGTAAATCCCTTGGCATCGCTAACGGTGGAAGGCCGGCGATCGGGGAGCTCGTCTCTTGTTGTTGCGACCAACGACGACGACGTCTATTCCTACCGCGGCGACTCTTTTCCCTCGTTCGTACGACTCGGTGTGATCGTGAAATATAAACTGCTCCCTTTAACGAGAGGTTCGTGCCACGAATTTCGACCGCCGCGCCCTCTTTTTACTCTCTTTGTTCCGCGTTATACCGTCCACCCTAATTCGAGTTATTGCGGGTCCGCGATAGCTGCGCAAAAGAATTCCGACTACGAGTGGAATATCCGACTATCATTGCGCACGCATTCGAATTTCGCTTGTCCCCGCCGTCGGATATTGCGACACCCGTCTTCGGGCCTCTGGCGGCAGAGCGGCGTATCGCGTCGCCTTGAATTATGTTCCACGCTTGCCAATAGCCAGGTATTCATTAACGCTAATTAATCCGGAGTTATTTCGACTCGACAAGGGGATTCGCGCGCGGGGCTGACGACGGCGCCATCGAGCTCGCTGGCATCGCCGCGCGAAACGGCACTTTGCTCGATTTCTCGTTGGACGAGCGTCGTAGTGACAAACCGCGTGTTTTCTCCGGTTCGATTTTATCCGCAGTGGCGGAAATTCGCGCGGTACGTGTGTTTGCGCGAAAACGGACACAGGGCCGGTCGTCTATTTTCAGAATCTAGGCCAATTAATTCCGCCGTGTATTCGGCAGATTGGAAAAACGGTAATCCCGTCGAATGTCCGCAGTCCGCCGCGAAAATAGCTTCGGGGGATCGGAACCGACTCGCCGAAAGCGGAAAAGAAACCGTAACGAGTTACGAATAGATTATCGAAAGAACGGACCCAGTCTGTCCGATAAATCATCAGTCGTTCATGTTTCTTGGCCCAAAGGAAAATTCAGCTAACGAACGAATAAATACGATTCTTCCATCTTGTCTGTCTTCGTTTTTTTAAGGTAGCTCGCTATTTGGGTAACGTATCAAAAATAAGAATATGAAGTGAAAATTTTATTATCAAATGTACAGGATGTTCCAAAACTAGTATAAGATATTGAAATG